TAACTTCTGCCTCTTGGGCTCAAGTGATCCTCCTGCCTCAGCCTCCCAAGTAGCTGGGACTACAGACATGTGCCACCTCACTCCAGCTAATTTTTGGTACTTTTTTGGACAGGGTCTTCTTATGTTGTTCAGGCCGGTCTCTCGAATTCCTAAGCTCAAATATTCCTCCCACCTTGGCCTCCTAAAGTGCTGGGATTACAGGTGTGAGCCACTACACCTGGCCTATTGTGTTTTTTTTCCCCTAGATATTTTCCATCCATCCTTGGTTGAATCCACAGTTGTGGAACCCACATATACAAAGTGTTGATTGTATCTAAAAATGAAACTATTTAAAGGTAGATTGGTTGAATCCACAGTTGTGGAACCCACATATACAAAGTGTTGATTGTATCTAAAAATGAAACTATTTAAAAGGTAGAAAAACGCAGCCACGATTTTGTCTCTTAATTCCTTTCTTCCATTTTCCTGTCTGATAGACTCAGTGGGAACCCAAGAGGGAAGAAGTTTAGACGGGAGAACAGGTAGAGATAAGTGGGAAAGAGATGGCATTAAGGCCCTCAAGTCTGTAAAGGGTGAATGCAGACTGCAGCACAGGACTGCCACCTGGTCGCTGGTCTCAGCTGCCGGGAAGAGCTGTGGCTTTGTCACCATCCTCAGCTCGTCTTGCTCCCTTGATCCCTGCCTCAGTTTGCTCAACTCCTGGCCTCCTTGGAGGAAAATGCCTGTGTCAATGGGAGCACGATGGAGGGTTCCAGGGTGAGGTGGGATGGGGGATAAGGACATGTTTGCATGAATGTGTCCTAAAGGAACATGTACATAAGGAAATGGACTCCCATCTGGAGAGTGAGCTGGGGGAGGCGGGCACTGCAAGGAGCAGGAAGACAGGCCGGATGTCTGGAGATTGCTCCATAATCCCTAGTTCCTTTTGAGTGTCCTGCTTTGTCTGTTCTGGCTTTCACCCCAACCCAGAAACCTGGAGAAACCTCAACTGGAACGTCGAATGAGAAGATTCCAGCTCTCTGGGCCCAGGGCGAAAAAAGGAAGTTGTATGAAAAGAGGAGAAAGGAAAAAACAGTCTCATATTGTGCAACAGGTGAAGTCCCACGTTGCCCCACTTCGAGGATTCCGTGCTGCCGTTTGTAATTCCTGGTGAAGCATTTCTTCATGAGGCTGCCCAGGCCTCCTGCGCCTTCCCTGGTGGTCCTGCCTCTGTGGAGCTGAGCTCCTCCCTTCCCATTTGCTGAGTGGGAAAGGGACTCCATCATGAGGGAGGAGACCTGGATTCTGGCCCTAGCCCTGCCTGTTCACTAACAATGAACCAGAGACAGGTCATGGCTCTGCTCTGGGCTGCATCTGACAGATGAGAGGATGGACTCTCCCAGGTAGCAATCCGGGACCCCTCAGAGCACCCTAGGTGTCTCTAGAAAAGGCATGCTTCCTAAGGGTCTTGGACCCTGGGTCAAGCCTCAGCCCCAGAACTCAGTTGCTGAAGCAGATCTCCCCTTGGGATGCCTCTCCTCATTATAGTCCATCTCCTTGAGGTGTGTCCCTCTCACCTTGGGTTCCTCCTGCAGGGAGGTTTGGCTCACCCTCCAGAATGCTCCCTTTCCTGCCACACTGAGCTACTGGGGGTCGCTATTGGCGATGTGTCAGTTGGTGGTTGTATTTGTTTCTATTGCTGCAAAATATTACCACACACTTAGTGTCTTATAACCACGTATTTATTCTCTCAAAGTTCTAGAGTGAGAAATCTGAAACTAGTTTCCCTGGGCCACACTCCCTCTGCAGGCTCTAGGGGAGGAACAATTTCCTTGCCTTTTCCAGCTTCCAGAGCTGCATCCTCACACCTCTTGGCTCCTGGCCTCTTCCTCCATCTTCCAAGCCAGCAGCATAGCATCTTGCTTCTCTGGTCACATTGCTACCTTCTCCGCTATTGCCACATTTTTCTCTTCCTCCCTCTTATAAGGACACTTACAACTACATTAGGGCCTGACCAGATAATTCAGGGCAATCACTCATCTCAAGATCCATAACTTGATCATATCTCCAGAGTCCCTTCTGCCACATAAAGTGACATTGACAGGTTCTGGGGAATAGGATGTGGATGTCTTGGGGGCCATTATTCAGCTACCACAGTGATCTATACCTTGTCTCTGGTTTGGGGTCATCCATTCTCTCTCCCATCCCATCCCCTTATAATAGAATTGTATATTTTTCTCCAAATCCACACCCTAATCTTACAGGCCATCCCAACTGCCCCTCCCTTCACTTTCTTTAGGCTCTGAGAATATTCTAGGAGACTGCCCTCCAACGGAACTTTCTGCGATGATGGACAGGAAGTCCATAATCCGTGCTGTCTAATGTGGTAACTAGCCATGTTACCAAGGGCTACTGAGCACTTGAAATGCGATAGTGTGACTCAGGAGCTAAATTTTAAATTTTATTTCATTTTAATTAAATGTAATGAAATTGTAAATAGCCACTTTGGCCAGTGGCTAACATATTGGACAGCTCAGATGTAGGCAAATGAAAGCAAAAACTATGGCCAGGCACATTCTTCACTGCTAGCCTCTCCTCACCTCTGTTTTGGATGAGCTATGCCACCTAACCTCCTCCTCTCGGTCCCCGCAGAATCTGAAGGAGGCTTCCACTGGGGCTCTGGAATGACGGAAGTGCCTAAGGGCAGAACAGGAAGGGAATTGTGTCTGTTTTCCCCAGAGAAGTACAGGGCCCCAATTCTGCTTTTGCATAGGACTAAGAACACTCGAAGGATTTTCAAGGTAGTCTCGGCCTTGTCCTTACTCGACCGGTCTTCCTTTTGAGGACCACAGAGGTTGCATAGGACTAAGAATACTCAAGGATTTTCAAGGTAGTCTCGGCCTTGTCCTACCTTACTCCGACCGGTCTTCTTTTGAGGACCACAGAGGACCACTAGGGAAGGTGTGTGAGGAAGGGCCCAAGCCTGGGAGCTGGCACTGCCACAGGGTCCTGCCTTGCTATGCACCTCGCTGAGACATGTGGCAGCTACTTCCCCAGGCCTTGGCCTGGCCCTCAGTTTCTATAAAATGAGAGAGTTGGAGCAGATGGTCTAAAGTTTCCTTTTAGCTTTAGTAGACCATGAGTCTATGTCCTGAGGTTTTATTGTGCATGTAATTCTGTTTCAGAGCCGTGTTGTCTCTGACCCATGGAATAGGCAGTTCTGATTGAAGGATAATTAAGTAGAAGTGGCTTTAGGTTACTCCTGCAACACTTCCAAACAAAATCAGACCTCCGGTCAGGCGCCGTGGCTCACACCTGTAATCCCAGCACTTTGGGAGGCTGAGGCGGACGGATCACGAGGTCAGGAGATCGAGACCATCCTGGCTAACAAGGTGAAATCCCGTCTCTATTAAAAATACAGAAATTAGTTGGGCGTGGTGGCGGACGCCTGTGGTCCCAGCTCCTCCAGAGGCTGAGGCAGGAGAATGGCATGAACCCGGGAGGTGGAGCTTGCAGTGAGCTGAGATTATGCCACTGCACTCCAGCCCGGGCGAAGGAGCGAGACTCTGCCAAAAAAAAAAAAAAAAAAAAAAAGAAACAGACCTCCATCCTTCTGTCCTCATGACAACTCTTCACAGTAGCTTGGGCTTTAGAGTGCTGATCCGTCAACTAACTAATCTAATACTCATGATGACCCTGATAACTGCTAAGTCCATTTTAAGTGAAAAGGCTGAAGCTCACAGAGGGAAGGAGAGAATCTTCCAGGTGCCCGGTCCCATGATGGGTGCTTTACATATCACCTCACAACAGCCCTTTGAAATGGTTAATGTTATCCCCATTTCACAGGTGTGAACACTGAGGTCTAATAAGGCAAGATGACTTTCCCAGTGTTATGCTGATAATCAGATGATGAAGACACTTTTCTCACTCTCCTTCCCCCCTTTGCTGTGCTTCTTCCCCTGTTTACAACTTTCCCTCAAGATGTTGAATTGATAACCTCCTTTTTTGGGGCATTCTTTCATGACACTCCCCAAGTCAACCTACGAGCCTCAACAAGTCACTTCACCTCTCTGTGCCTCTGTTTCGGTGAAATCCCGTCTCTACTAAAAATACAAAAATTAGTCGGGCGTGGTGGCGACACCTGTGGTCCCAGCCTCCTGGGAGGCTGAGGCAGGAGAATGGCATGAACCCGGGAGGTGGAGCTTGCAGTGAGCTGAGATTATGCCACTGCACTCCAGCCCGGGCGAAGGAGCGAGACTCTGCCAAAAAAAAAAAAAAAAAAAAAAGAAACAGACTCTCCATCCTTCTGTCCTCATGACAACACTTCGCTGGTAGCTTGGGCTTTAGAGTGCTGATCCGTCGCTAGCAACCAACCAATCTAATCCTCAAGGATGGACCCTGATAACTGCTAAGTCCATTTTAAGTGAAAGGCTGAAGCTCACAGAAGGAAGGAGAGAATCTTCCAGGTGCCTGGTCCCATGACGGGTGCTTTACATATCACCTCACAACAGCCCTTCGAAATGGTTACTGTTATCCCCATTTCACAGGTGTGAACACTGAGGTCCATTAAGGCAAGATACTTTCCCAGTGTTATGCTGATAATCAGGATGATGAAGACACTTCTTTCTCACTCTTCTTCCCCCTTTGCTGTGCTTCTTCCCCTGTTTACAAACTTTCCTCAAGATGTTGAATTGATAACCTCCTTTTTGGGGCATTCTTCATGACACTCCCCAAGTCAACCTACGAGCCTCTTCAATGTCACTTCACCTCTGTGCCTCTGTTTCCTTAACTGTGAAACTGGGGACAACAGTCCCTACTTCATAAGGGTGTTAAAACCCTTGTTGAAAGTACGAGGTGAGATGTATATGGAAGAGTGCTCAGCCCAAAAGCTCATATTAAGGATGCAGCAATTGCTCATTCTATTCCTTTTGGAAACTGTAGTTTGTTCCCCTCTCCGATAGTACCAGGCAATTTCTTTTACCCCCAAATCAAATTAAAATCACAAAGAAACTGTCTGCATTGTATTTTGAAGTTTTATTATGAAAACACATGGAACTTTAAATGGTGTTATCCATGTATTTGCAACAGCAGAGAAACAGTGACGGTGGACCATCTCCATAGGAGACACTTTGGCTAAACAAATATAAATAATGGAAATAACACCTAATACAATAACACGACACATTAAAAAGTTTAAATTAACAGAAGGGACACAGGAAACTGTGGAGAGGAGTCCTGAGTATGGAGGAGATGCCTCTCATGGAGAAGCATCCAGGCTCAGGTGACCTTCCCTGAAGACTTCCTGTCTCTGAGCAGCTCAGTTCAGTTCCAGGTCATACACATACCCTGACTCCAGGTCTCACTGGGGTCAGCCACTTGCTTCCCCCTTTGGTTTGGAACTGTAGAACAAGGATGGACAGATGAGAATCCCATGAGACCTTTGAGGTCATCTGGCTTTTTCCCCTTGCCTGGGTAGGCATCTTCTCTGCCTGACTATGGTCCGGTGCCTGGTGCATGGGATCCTTCCTGGGGCAAGTGCTGGAACCAGACTCCCTGTAACTTCCACCCACTGGAGTTAGCTGTGGGCCCCAGGGGTTTCCCAGATTAGGAACCAGTGGGCATTGCAATCAATATGAATAGATCTCCTTATTCCCTGCCAGCCTGGCAGTGACTTTTCCACATGTCTTTCTAGCGTGGTTTGAGAAATCAGTCCCTATCTCATGTGAGCTGCCCGACTTCCCCTGCTTTCCTGTCCTCTGCCAACTTCCTCCCCAGGAACCCCCTTCTCGGCTCCCGCTCAGCTGCCTTCAACACTGCTGAAGAAAAATGAGTTCATGATCTGTGTCCTCACTGCTCTCGAAGGCTTCAGCCCCTGAGAGCTGCTCTCCCCACTGCTCAATCAGTCCCTCCCAAAAACAGGCCCTTTAAAATCCAGCCCTCCCCCTGCCTCCCAGAGCAGCCCAGGGGTTGATACTACACCACAGCTGGCTGGGAGCAGAGGCTGCTGGTCTCGTAGTAATCTACCACAAAACTATGGCAGGAAGCTTCCCTCACGGTGTAAGAAAAGGCAGTAGGTGGGAGGGTCTGAGCCCACTGAAAGGAAAGGCCAGGGTGAGATCAACACTGCACATAGGAGCTGTTTATTTTGGTTTCTAGTTTTGTGTCTTCTTTGAGTGATCCCTGTGGAGCTACCGAACCACAAATATGGTCCCTTGTATCTATTCCCACCTAACCTGAGCAGGAGTCTTATTCTGAATAGTGGATCTTCAGACAAGAACAAGAAAGAAACCTAGAAGATTGGAACTGGATTCAGTCTCAGAACACATCGCACTCCCTTCATGTGACAGATGGGAAAACCAAGGCACAGAGAGGGACAGGGGCTTGCTTGAACAAGTAATTATAGAGGTGAGCCAGTTCAACAGTCTGACTTCCAACCCATCCTTTCCTCTGCTAGTTGCTAATTCTTGAGAAAAATAGGGAACTTGAATGTTATTGAATATCTACTAGACTTACATTTAGTGCAGACTTCGTGGCACCTTCCTAGCTGCCTTTTTGTCCCATCCCCAGATCCCACTGTTTGACCAGCCACAACTAGAAAAAAGGACTCTGCCTACACCTTGGCTCTGGAAACAGCAGCTGCGAAAGTAGACTTACTTGGTGCTGAGAGTGCTGGAGAGCAGAAGGCAGCTACTAGCACGAGAGAGATATAGGACAACACGCACAGCTTCATGGTGTTGGTGGAAGAGAGGTTTTCTCAGAGGTGAGGCCACAGAACTCAGAAGCTTCAGAACCCAGCTGTGTCCTGTGCTGATACTGAGTTGGGAATCTCTCTTTATAGAGACTCTGAGGCCTGGGACAAATGTGGGGGCCTTCAGCAGAGCGTGAGTGGAATTTCCATGGTAGAGATGATGTCGTGGCTCCTGAAGCTAGCTGAGTGAGGAGTTCATCTCAATTTCTTCCTAGGGCGATGTCATCATAGAGAAAGATGAGGGAACTGCAGGCTAGAAGAAAAGGGAAGTGGTACAACCAAAGGGAAGTGACTGAGACCTGGGGGAGAGCTGCAAACCACAGGAGGAAAGATGAAATGTTCACACCTGCTTTAAGTGACTTGTAGACAGCAGAACTGTGCTGGTTTGGTGATTGGCACCCCCAGATGCTGGAGGGTTCATGTCAGTCTTTCCAGACTGGCCACAAGCCTGGCCCTTAAGAACAAAGGGGGAGCCAGGACCTTTCCGGATCCCCTTCCCGTGCCTTCTTCTGCTGAGCTGACTGCCACTGACTTTTGTGCTCTGTATGTTTCCTTGGGCATGAAGAGTCCAGCATTGGATGTACAGAGGGATCCAGTGGGGTGACTCAGGAACATTTGTAACTCTTATTGACACAGCATGTACCTGGCACTGGGAAAGCTGTCTACATATATCATATCTAACCATAGCTCCTGAGCAGGGGTGTAAATATCTCATTTTACAGATAAGAAAATTGGAGGATCAGAGAGTGGTCCACTGATGTGCTCAGTGCCACAGAGTCAAGGATGTAAAATGCCAATATACCTGAATCAAGATTCATCTGACTCCAAAGTCCATTTTCTTTCCATGCTGTAGTCTCCAGAATAAAAATAGAGTGTGATCACAAAGTAGAAACTGCTGTCTGATAGATCACAGGGAGCTATTCCACACTAAAGACCAATTGTACTCAAACTTAATTCAGGAAAGAGATAGGGCTAGTCTGTCCTAGAACAAGGAGGGAACGGAGGAGAAATAAAGATTTCAGGATATTTTCTTGGACCAACAAAAGAACAGGACATATAAACCAGTAAGAATCGAGTTTGGAAGACCCAGATAGAGAATGTTCTTCTAGTATAAAAACAGGATTGAGCTGGGTGCAGTGGCTCACACCTGTAATCTAGCACTTCGGGAGGCCATGGTAGGTGTATTGCTTGATCCCAGAACTTTGAGACCAGCCTGGGCAACATGGTAAAACCCTGTCTCTACAAAAAAATACCAAAAACAATTTGCTTGGAGTGGTGATGCACACCTGCAGTCCCAGCTGCTCAGGAGGCTGAGGTGGGAGGATCACCCGAGCCCAGGAAAGTCCAGGTTGCAGTGAGTGGTAATTCTGCCACTACACTCCAGCTTGGGTGACAGAACGAGACCCTGTCTCAAAAACAAAGCAAAGCAAAACAAAACAGAACTGTATACGTAGTAATGAGTTTATCCATGTTACAGACAAAATATGTAAACTAAGAATGTAGGTGTGTCCCAACCAGTCCATAGGGAATGCCTGTGTTTATGCTAAGCCCTGGCTGCTTTGACAGCTGCTGGGCACCTGTACAGAAGATTACAAAGACCCTGAATACAGCAGTGTGTGAAGTTGGGCAAATGAGGGGAATGAGGATAATTGGATCAAGATCTCTATCTGCCTTTAGCTCTACTACTCTAACCTGCCTGCTCACCCCTAACCCCACTCTTCTCTGAGAAAGAAAAAAGAAGAGCAGGCTGGGAGCGGTGGCTCAAGCCTGTAATCCCAGCACTTTGGGAGGCCAAGGCATGTGAATCACGAGGTCAGGAGATTGAGACCATCCTGGCTAACATGGTGAAATCCTGTCTCTACTAAAAATACAAAAAATTAGCCAGGTGTGGTGGCAGGCGCCTGTAGTCTCAGCTACTCAGGAGGCTGAGGCAGAAGAATGGTGTGAACCCAGGAGGCAGAGCTCGCAGTGAGCCGAAATCGTGCCACTGCACTCTAGCCTGGGCAACAGAGTGAGATACCGTATCAAAAAAAAAAAAAAAAAAAAAAAGAAGAGTAAAAAGAAGGAGTCATGACTTCAAACTATACTACAGGGCTACAGTAACCAAAACAGCATGGTACTGGTACAAAAACAGACACATAGACCAACAGAACAAAATAGAGAGCTCAGAAATAATGCTGCATACTTGCAACCATCTGATTTTTGACAAAGTTAACAAAAACAAGCAATAGGGAAAGGACTTCCCATTCAATAAATGATACTGGGATAATTGGCTAGACATATGCAAAAGATTGAAACTGATTCCTTCCTTACACTGTGTATAAAAATCAACTCACAATGGATTAAATACTTAAATGCAAAACCAAAAACTGTAAAACTATAAAAAATATGATATCCTGTAAGATAACCTAGACAATACCATTCTGGACATAGGATCTGGCAGAGATTTCATGATGAAGATGCCAAAAGCAAATTCCAACACAATCAAAAGCTGACAAATGGGATCTAATTAAACTAAAGAGATTCTGCACAGCAAAACAAATTATCAGCAAAGTAAAGAGAACGTACAGAATGGGAGAAAATATTTATAAACTATGCATCTGACAAAGCTCTGGTATCTGAAATCTATAGGGAACTTAAACAAACATACAAGCAAAATACAGACAACTTCATTAAAAAGTGGGCAATGAACATAAACAGATACATTTCAAAAGAAGACACACACATGGTCAATAAACATACAAAAAATACTCAACACCACTAATCATTAGAGAAATGCAAATCAAAACCACAATGAGATACTGTCTCAAACCAGTCTGCATGACTATTTTTAAAAAGTCAAAAAATAATAGATGCTAGTGAGGTTGCAGAGAAAAGGAAAACTTATACACTGCTGGTGGAAATGTAAATTAGTTCAGCCATTGTGGGGAGCAGTTTGGCGGTTTCTAAAAGAACTTAAAACAGAACTACCATTCGACCCAGCAATCCCATTATTAGGTATATACCCAAAGGAATAGAAATGGTTCTACCATAAAGACATGTGCACATGTATTTCATCGCAACACTATTCACAATAGCAAAGACATGGAATCAACCTAAATGCCCATCGATGATAGACCAGATAAAGAAAATGTGGCATATATACTTCTCAGTCATTAAAAAAAGAACAAGATCATGCCCTTTGTAGCAACATGGATGGAGCTGGAGGCCATTATCCTAAGTGAACTAATGCAGGAACAGAAAACCAAATACTGCATGTTCTCACTTATAAGTGGAAGCTAAACACTGAGTACACATGGACACAAAGAAGGGAACAGCAGGCACTGGGGCTGACTCAAGGGTGAAGGGTGGGAGGAGGGAGAGGATTTAAAAAATTACCTATCGGATACTATGCTTATTACCTGGGTGATGAAATAATCTGTACACCAAACTCCCGCAACACGCAATTTACCTACATAACAAACTTGCAAGCCTCGAGGGCAAAGAGGTAAACAGGGGTCAAGTTACAGAGAAGCTTCCATTTCATGCCAGGAATGATGTAGAATGTTTGCAAGATTTTAAAAGGAGAGAAACGGAGAATGATTTTGAGCTTTAGCAAAATTATATTGGATGCTGTATCGTGGGATAGATTAAAAAGAGACAAAACTAGGCCAGGCATGGTGGCTCACGCCTGTAATCCCAGCACTTTGGGAGGCCAAAGCAGGCAGATCATTTGAGGCCAGGAGTTCAAGACCAACCTGGCCTACATGGTAAAACCCCATCTCCACGAAAAATACAAAAAATTAGTCGGGTGTGGTGGCACATGACTGTAATCCCAGCTACTTGGGAGGCTGAGGCACAAGAATTGCTTGAGCCTGGGAAGCCAAGGTTGCAGAGAACCAAGATCAGCCACTGCACTCCAGCCTGGGCCACAGAGTGAGACCTTGTCTCTAAATAAATAAATAAGAAAAAAAAAGAGTTGCTAGGACCCTCCTCTAGTTGTCATGGTGAGAAACCATAAGAACCTGACAGGCAGTGGGAGTGGTGAGAGGCAGATGCACATAAAATTGAACGTAGACTAGAGTTGGCGATTGAATTGGTGTAGGAGATGACAGAGAAAGAGGAGACAAGGGTGACTCTTGGCTTTCCAGCTTGGAATATTGATAGGAAGAGGCACTTTTTATTGTGTAGAAAATATGGAAAAGGGGAAGGGACCGGGAGAGGGATCAGATCCAGTACCAAGACACACACCCTGACTTACTGCACACATGCAAGAAATGGCCAGAGAAAATAACAAGGACTCGGAACAGGAAACAAGGGGCTGGCTGTGGAAAGAGGGGGCTGTGTCAATGAGACATTGTCTGTCTAAGATGCAAGACAGGGGACTCCAGGCTGCTGCTTCTGCCTGCAGGAAAGGCAAGGCCCACACCTGCTGCAATCTGACCATGCAGACCACATATGAGAAAAGGAGGCCAAAGCTGGGCCGAACAGGGTGTCATCATCAGTGAACCCATCCCTGGGGCACCTGCTGCCAAAGCAGCTAACAGAGGGGGACACGTGGGGAAGTGGAGCCTCGGGGCCAGAATCTGGAAGGAAAGCAATGCCCCACGCTAGAGAGCATGGGCAGCAGCACACAGTGGGGAGGCAAGCCGAGCAGTGCAAAGCAAAGACACCGCAGAGGACAAACTGCTCAGCAAGGATTCCCTGCACTCTGGACTGGGACACTCTGCTGAACTGAGGTGGGGCCTCACAGAGGTTGAAATGAGCCGGAACGCTGGGACACAAATCAAATCCCTCCATGCTGAAGAGTCCACGGTGTGGACTGCTGGCTACTTTCTGTCACCACCTCCTGAGGAATCTTCGGTAGTCAGTTTCCCAAAGATCAAGACTGTGACACCATGCCTCCTTTCCTTCTCCTCTCCCCTCCCCTCCCCTCCCCTCTCCTCCCTTCCCTTCCTTTCCTTCTCTTTAAAGTAAATCATAACCTTTTAGATCCAAGTTACTGAAAACTTCTTTCCATAAGTTTAATTTACATTTCTGTTCCAAATTGTATCTTTATTGGGACTCTCAATTCTGTCTCTTTTTTTTTTTTTTTTTTTTTTTTCTGAGACGGAGTCTCCCTCTGTCACCTAGGCTGGAGTGCAGTGGTGTGATCTCGGCTCACTGCAACCTCCTGGGTTCAGGTGATCCTCTTGCCTCCATCTCCCGAGTAGCTGGGACTACAGGCATGTGCCACCACGCTCAGCTAATTTTTTGTATTTTTAGTAGAGACAGGGTTTCACCATGTTGACCAGCCTGGTCTCAAACTCCTGGCCTCAGGTGATCTGCCTGCCTCG